GTTCAATCGCCCCATTCGCCCAACATAAAGCCGTTCGATTCCAACTGTTCTGGTCAGTCGAGGGTACTCTCCGACGGCAAACGCTACAATGTTTTGTCATTCGCCGAAATTGGCATCAACAGCAATTTACTCGCACTTGTTGAAAAATCGAAGGTACCAGAGGTCCAAAGGCTTTCGGGGCACTGGGAGCGGGTCATTGGTGAAGGAGGGATCTACTTAACTCGAGCCAAAATATTACTTTTTTTATCTATTTTCCTCTTCGTTTTATATGAATAAAATCTTGGGCACTTTGAATGGGATGACCTAATATTAGGTAAGGAAAACCAATGCTACAACCCAATAATCGTCCTGTGTCCGAAAACCCTGAGCAATGACAAGCCTTTTCAAATAGTAAATGAGTAGTATTACAGAACCCGTGTTGCTATCGAACTCATCACTTTAAAGTTTGAAGAGAATCCCAGCCATTATCCGTGCAAAGAAGGCGTGTGAGGGGGGGGGGTGGCGTATATTGCAGCGCAGCCAGAACAGCCTTTTCAAACGACTGTTGTAGACTCAGACGACATCATTGGTGGAAAAGGCCTCCCTGGCTGCGCATGTACGCCTTTAACACGCCCTCTCGTTCAAGGGGATAATGACTGGTCAGAGTAAAAAAACACCTCATCAAGCTCGTACCTTGTCCTTAATTTCAGCTAGTAGCGCTCCCGGTTTCGCATTCATGAAGGCGTCCGCCATTTTGTTACACTCCTCCACTAAGTCCGGACGTCTCTGAAACACTATTATTAATGACTAATATTAACCAGTACATAACAATGTCCTGCACATTGCCGGTGGTGAACTCCAAACTGCTACGCGCCACCTTTCTGGATCATTTGGGTAACTTGGTCGCGATCAGGATTACGTCAACTAAAGGTGACCTTAGACGCGAAGCAGAAATAACTGCTGAGTTAGAATTCCACTTTGATTATGCAACTCCGTGCAAAAGTATCCATTTCGGGCCGGAAAACCCAGTTTTTTTAAAGACAGTTGGCACGATAAATCGCTTAGGATTTATACGACTGGCTTAACAGAATTCCGTGACCTCGGACAGGCGCTCCGTGGCGCCTTTTCCAAGGAGGGTACCCCTATAACGCCCTATCGAGCAACAACATTCCGTCCCAAACGCCTTCCTCGCCCGCCCGCCCACAAACGGACGACCGTTCCTGACGCTCGTATTCATTCATTTGCTGAGCAAATTATGAAGCAAAGGGATTGGTATGAAGCGGCCGTGATGCTGCATACATGGGTACACATATGCAGCCGTATCTTCGGTAGCGGTGATTGGCAAGATGCCGTACGGGAAACTCGTCCGAAATCGATTTTCAAGTCACTGAGAACGGAGGCTTTTTCTTCGCAGGATTTTGACCGTTTCACTCCGTTCTTTCGCCATTTCCCCACTACATAGCGCCCTACTAGCATTTTAGGCCGAGTGGGAAACCATCGTGCCAACTGCCTTAAAGGAATTCTTCGCTTTATTATCCAGCCTGGAACAGGGAGCTCGTTTTTTCGCGCTCAGGATGTAATTTTGTGATTACTGTCTGATCATTGATAATTCGCACATCTTAACAAACAAATGAAAAAATATTGTTCAGCGTGAGAAAACCTTGCTGATTTTTCAAGGTTCTCTTAAAGACAGCCCCCGCGCTCGAGTAGTACATGGTCGTCCTTCCTTGTGCAAGTAGTACAGCCCCCAAGCTAGAGACTGTCCCACTCTATTCGTCTGCACAGCGAGCGAGAAGCGAGCTACAGCCGCTGTAAGTTCTAGTTCTAACGCCTGCTCAGTTGGACCGCCTTACTTGCTAGATGTCCTCCGACGGAGGCCACTCAGTTGTTCTTAGTTGGGGCGGCGGGCATTGCTAATGCCCATGGATAATTCTGCTCCCCTTTATTACAGTTTACTCATTGGAGGTATATACATTCAATTCAACTCATTTCGCGAGGTGAAACGCGTAAAAAGCACGAGTGACGCAATTTTCGTGATGCAAAACCTCGACAATCCCAAATTCAGACACCGCGTTGATAACCTTTTTCCTTCCAAGAGTTTTTCCTCTGCGTTTTTGTTGTTTTCTTTTTGTATTCTTTTTTTGCACTGGATGATATCAACTACTGCGAGATGTGATAGAGAGATTTGTGAGCTAGGGGTTGCACAGAGACCGCAGGGAGGTGTGACTGTGAGGGAGCGATTTGTTTATGTTGTTCTGGAGGACGCTTCCGTTTCCGTGTACCATTCCGTCAAGGCCGTCGTATTCCCAACTTCCGATCCAAAGAAAACTCCAAGATACTGCAAAGTCCACAGAAAAAGGGTGGATATTCCCAATGTCGTCGCCGAAAGGGAATCGGAATTAGAAAAAGCCGCAAACGGTCAAGAAAATATTGACACAAATCAGATCGTGTTCAAGCTTAGTAAATCCTCTTACAGACTTCCTCACAGAACCAGAAAACTGGAAACACACTCTGAAGCCCGGCTATGCAGAGAAAAAGGTAAACGACGGCGGAAGAAAGTATATGGAGTTTCCCGCAAGGAGCTTTTACTTACCCCTTGATAGATATCAAAACTTCCAACAGTACAGCAAACGGCAAACGGAGGCTTGTCATCATAGTAACTATGTAGTGGTAGAACCTGATCTTTAGATATTGTAACCGTTTTTCCAACGTCGATAAGAAACACGTCCAAGGTCGCTACCTGAAGACGTTCAGCATTACCTCACAAGAATGGCAATTTCAGAAAAATAAAGGTACTTACTACATTGTTCGTGATCGGACTACACACTACACCTCGTTGCCATTGACGGTCTAACCACACAGCCACTCCATCGCCTTTCATCCAAAGCTGCGGTGCCGCGAACTCCAACTCTCCTTTGTAGTCATCCCTAGAAAACGTTTTGCTGAACAACGAACAATAATCATTATTCAAGAGCGTCTCCATACTCCGCTAGAGCACGGCCTAACCGTAGCCAAACGCGCTACTTAGCTGCGCTCTCTCCCTTCTGGTTCTCTACCACTCAGGGCGTGTTTCGCCGTGGACTTCCGTATTGACGCAAACATTGCATTAAAGGCACTTGGCACGATGGTTTCCTACTTAGCCTAAAATGCTAGTAGGGCGCTGTATAGTGGGGAAATGGCGAAAGAACGGAGTGAAACGGTCAAAATCCTGCGAAGAAAAGCCTCCGTTCTCAGTGACTTGTAAATCGATTTCGGACGAGTTTCCCGTAGGCATCTTACCAATCACCGCTACCGAAGATACGGCTGCATATGTGTACCCATGCAGCATCACGGCCGCTTCATACCAATCCCTTCGCTTCATAATTTGCTTAGCAAATGAATCGATTAGAGCGTCAGGAACGGTCGTCCATTTGTGGGCGGGCGGGCGTGGCGGGCGTTTGGGACGTAAAGTTGTGGCTTGATAGGGCCCTTATAAGGGCACCTTCCTCGGGGAAACCGCTATGCAGCGCCTGCCCAGGGTCGCGGAATTCTATCCTGCCAGGAGTATTGATCCTAGTCGTCGGGGGATTTATCGTGCCAACTGCCTTTAAGGATAGCGCGCTCGGAGTATACAGATTGCACATGGGAAGCCGTGCAGTCTTGACCGGGAAAGTGGCATGCTAAAGCAGCTGCGGACCCATTCATTTCGCACATGACAAGGATCCATTAGAGCAGGTGAGTGTACAGTTTGTCTATGATATTTTACCCCTGGTTCTGGAGCTCCTCTGAAGAACAGTGGGACCAATCAATATGTTCATCAAGGATATAAAATACAGCACTAGTACCTCGTAACTTTAAATGGATAGAGGACTCTGAGGGAATAGAGATAGCTATGAGAAACGTCCAAAACAATAGCACAATGCCGAGCTGTCGCGCGCGAGCATCGTGCGGCAATCGGCGCAGTGGCTCGAATGTAATGTTCCACAGGAGTTGATATCCGTAGGCTTATCACTCAGCTTCTTCGGAGGTACTCTACAGAAAACAAATGGTAAACATGACACTGGCAAATGCAGCTTCGAGCTATCCAGCTGCTGCACGCGGCAGGCAAAACCGCTAGCCCCACACATCAGCAGAATGGCGAATGACAACTGTATTGTCACATGCCCGCTAGCTGGTCAGAAACAGAGAAAGAAAACAGAGAATCATCTTTCTTGTGGAATTCACGCCGGTCATGTTTGGTTGCAAACCAAGGGGACGTATTCGGCTTTCCGGGAGCTATCCCTACCCGACTCCTCTCGGTGGTCGTTGAAATGGAAGGATCTTACCGGCGCCGCACATCCTCATGGTGTTTTCTGATTAAGCGAAATTCGAGCAGCACCACCTCGCATAGAAGCGGCTTGAAAAAGCAAAAAGAAAGAAAAAAATTATGGATCCGAAAAAGAACACCAACCTCAACTCTGCGAGCATATCCAGATATCGATTTTCCTCACTCTCAAAGCGTACATAAAACTCATCCAACGCGACAAAATGGGTAAGCTTCACCTAAAACTCCATATTCCGTCATCGAACACGATTAGGCTGAGAACTGAGCGGATTTGCGCTAGTTGTTTGCTCAAGAAGAAAGGTCAAGAACAGTTCCAGAAAGTTTCTCTCGGTGGGAGCCGCGTAATTGATTTCCATTTGGATGGGAGCACTTGAAAATGCGTCCGCATTATACTAGGTTGTCCGGAAAGTTCTCAGCGTTTTGAGTGTTTCACTTTAAACGATCATAACTTTCTTAATACTCATCGGATTCAATCGAAATAAGCACCGTTCGAATCAGCACACTTTTGCCAATGTGACACCAGTCGATAAATCCCATCAAAGAAAAAACTGGGTGGTCGAGAATCCACGAAATCCAAGGCTTTTTTGCCTGGTCCTGATTGATGAAGTATTTTCCAGCAAGGAAGTTCTGAAAATGTTTGAAAAGGTGATAGTCGGTTGGTGAAAGGTCTGGAGAATATGGCGGGTGAGGTAGAACTTCAACCCCCAATTCGTTCAATTTATGGATAGTGATTTGTGAAACGTGTGGGCGGGCGTTGTCATGCAAAAGAATCGGACCCTTTCTGTTGACAAGTGCTGGCTGCAGCTGACGCAATTTTCGGTACATTTCGTCGATTTCTTCACAGTAGGACTCTGCTGTGATGGTTTGGCCTGGTGACAAAAAGTTATAGTGGATCACACCAGCCGATGACCACCACACTGTGACCATTTCGTGAGGATTCGGCTTTGGAAATTGCCTCGGTGGTTCGTCGGCATCCAACCACTGTCCGGAACGTCTCCTGTTATCATACATGATCCACTTTTCATCACAGGTGACAATTCGGTCCAAAAACGGGTCGTTTCTGTTGCGCAAAAGCAGTGAAGAAGAAACCTCGAGACGTGCCAATTTCTGCCGGTCACTCAAATTGTGGGGCACCCACTTGTCGAGTTTTTTCACCTTCCCAATGCGTTTCAGACCATCCGCAACAGTGGATTTGCCAACGCCTAGCTTTTCTGCAATCTCTCGAACTGTTTGGGATGGGTCAGCCTCCTCGACCGCTCGAGGTTCATCTTCAAGGCTGAAATCTCCAGAACGAAATTTGTCGAACCATTGTCGCACGGTGCTTTCTCCAACACTATTGGGCCCCCACTAATTTGTCGAGCTGTCTCGACTGCGGATTGACCCAATTTGTAGTTGAAGAAAAATATCGTCCGAAGTTGCTCTTTTGACATGCTTCAAAAAGTCTTGGGAAAAGGGGGTTATCAAGCAATGGTGAAACGGCAATTATACCATCAGATAGCGCAAAAAATACCATCAGTTAGCGCAAAAAATTCTCTCTCAGGATGTACTACTGAGACGCAAGGGAGAATGAGTTTTTAATCAGCAATACAAAAAAATAGTAACACAAAACGCTGGGAACTTTCCGGACAACCCGATATTATGCCATGGAGATCAGTTGATTTCCTTTATTATATTTCGGGCGATATAACTGACGAGACTGTTGTAAGGCACCGTCGGAACCAGCACGCTGGGCCTGTGGATCGCACCCAAGGTATCAATGGATCCGCGTTTGAAAACAGTGATTTGTGCGGCTCAAATACTGAAGAAGGTTTCCGCCCGAAACGCCCTATGCCGAATCCCTGCTGAATCGCGCTTGTGCGTGCTTAAGGCAAAAAAGGGAGTGGTCGGACGAGTTCTCACATGGGGGAAAAATAAGTGAGAGCTACTGAACGTACATAATCCTCATACGGCACATCGTGAGAATCCATCAGATACATGTGCTTGCGTTCATACTTCTTCGGTTCTTGTGGTACGCGCCGCTTTTGAAAACCATTCCTAGCCATGTCGTCATCGAATCGTGCATATCGGTCTAAATTAAGAGCCGTATTGCAAATCTTACAAAGAGAAAGAACTTCGTGTGTACCTTGCTCCCTCGGCCACACCCCTTTGTACTCATGCTCATACGGTCGATCGGGAGACGGTTCACGTCTATATGGAGGGGGAGGATAACGATCCCCACCCCAACCTTGTCTGAATCGATCTTCCTCAGCATACGTGCTAGAAGCACGTGATCTAGCCGGGCTTGGTGAGCGACGACGTTGTTGGGGATCGTGTGTGGGGGCACTGAAACGGTTATTTCTCGCTTCTCCTCCACTATCATAACGTCCTCTCGTGTAAGATTGTTCATCTAAAATAGAAACAGTCACATTGGGATAACATTGGTCATCTAAACAGATGGCAGTACCGTTCCCACGATACGTCTGTGAATCAGTTCTTCTCGTTATTGTTCGGTCGTCGTTATCGTTGTCAGCTCTCTGTATAAGAATTCTGTTACTTACCAGTAACTCATTCAAAGATGTAAATCATACGTTCAATTCTCGAGGATTTTCTCTTCTGTCAATATCACGATCGAAGTAATCGCGATGAAACCCATATGGAGAGACGGTCGAGTAGTTGTCCAAGTCCACGGGTGGTTTCGGCTGAAATCGCTCAAGTTTGATTCCACCTTTTGCTGATCCCACTAAAACCAACGAAAAATGCCAATGCCAGAAATTACACACGCTTGCATTTTGTGCGGTCTAATTGTATTTCCGAAGAAAAAAAAATTGAATTTTCAACTGGTTTTGGTAAGTGGTCTGCCATCTTTACACTTATGGCGTTAGTATTTTACAAATAAATTCGGCCCTGTTGACCTTTTCACTATCCTACTCTTAGATGATCAAGTCAGATTTTCGCCGAAATTTTTCTCTAAAGGTAGATCTGCTCGAAAACTTCCTCAAGTCAAGTTTGGCCCCGAAAACACATAACTCGTCCGCTTGGGGTGATTAACGAAGTCAAAAACAGGAATGACAGGAACCACACAAAGGTCGCAATGGTTTTTTTGTTCACTCCTTCCTTCCGAGATGATGACCATGAGTCACCATGAGGGTACAAGACAATACATAGTAACCGCCGCGCTGCGTGCGGCCCGCCGGTGACCATGTTTCCACGATTGCTGCGATTCTTTTGACCGTCTCCCAGTCACTATTGCAGGCGAGCCGCAAGGGCGTGGCCTTACCTAAACATGGGTCCCAACTGCCTTAATACTGTACTTGGCAGAAAAACGCCTTGCGTCCACGCTGCCGGCATCAAAACAGCCTGGGCCAGGGCATGTAGCGCCTGGTGCAGGCATTTCTGTGCCAAGTGGATACGACATTTGAACTCGAGGATAGGCCAAACTGGCCCCAGAAAAAAGACCCCACCTAATATGGTGCTTCAGAGTATTTTGGCGCTGGCGTAAGTGCGGGGACCAGATGCTTTCGTGCCTTTACGATATTTGTAAGGGAAGGGGGTCACACTATACATGGAGACAAATTCCCAGGAAGCTCTACCTCCAGAGGAAAAGGAAAAATTTAACAAAAGTTTGGCCTGGTTTTCTCTGAGTGGGGTGAAAAGGGTAAAATGCGTCAATGCTTTTTTTGTAGCTCTTCCCTAAAGGACACCCGCTTTTGGTGATCAGTCTTCATAGAAACGGCTCGCCATCCGTCATTTCAAATGAGAGACTTCTCGTTTCACAATTTTTTAAGACTGCGGGATAGACGAGGAAAAAAACTTAAGAGATTCCCTTCGGATCGGTGCTAAGGATAAGCCTGTAATATTTGCAACAGTGCTCTTCAAGAAGGACCAGGACTTCAACAAGATCACATTCTGCTCTACAAAAAGACTGATTCGGCTGTTAACTGGTTTAACCGACGTAAAAAGTATGCGACATTTTTCCCTTTCTGCAGCGACACATACAAGTTAGCAGAACATCGCCCTGTTTGACATTCTGCGACACTGTCCAGTTGAAACAATTGAGTCCTGGTGCTCTTGTCGCGGGGAGTACAGTCTTCGCTGCATCCTTGTGAGAAACAATAGGGGGTCGTACTTTTCCGCCGATGCGGGGGGTCTATTGGTCTTTGGGAGACGGAGGAAGGGGGGTCGTATGCGCCTTTGAGAGAAATGCGCTGCGTGGGGAAAAATTTTTTCCGGTTATTGAACTTTCGCCTAATTTTCCCTGTCTCGTGAAAATCCAAGAAAGTTCCCCATTTAACACTAGCAACAATATCCCTCACCCCCCCCCCGCCCCGCTCAAAGAAGAACGTTTGGGTGAGAAACTGGAAAATGTGGAAAAATGGTGGGTAGGTGGTGGGGAGGTGAGAGGGTGGGAGAGGGGGGGGGGGGCACCAAGACCCTCTGATGTGAGGGGAGGAGGTCGTACTGAGACCACTTGAACTTTCGCCTGATTTTCCCTGTCTCGTGGAAATCTAAGAAATTTTCCCATTTAACACTAGCAACAATATCCCTCACCCCCCCCCGCCCCGCTCAAAGAAGAACGTTTGGGTGAGAAACTGGAAAATGTGGAAAAATGGTGGGTAGGTGGTGTGAGGTGAGGGGGGTAGGGGGGGGGGCGCACCAAGACCCTCTGAGGGGAGGAGGTCGTACTGAGACCACCATTTCACACATCATGGTGCTGTACTCTATTGGCTGCTGCGTACGGTGGGGCGTTTTAGTGAGCTGGGTTTCGCGCTGCGCCATTTGCTGTCGCTTACCCGCTTCAACAAGTGGTGGAGAAGGGCTGGCATCGCGCCAGACTCACCCCCTAACAAGCCTCAGCAACATATACGTGATCTCGGTTCCAGCGCCTCTTTCGCGGCCCTAGCCACTGCGGCGAAGTAATTTTCCCTGAGTACCTGAGTACCACTTTAAAGGCAGTTGGCACGATAAATCCCCAGGACGAGTGCGGTTAATACGCCTTGCACGACGGAATCTCGCGCCCATGTGTAAGCGCTCTCTCAGGGAAAGTACCCTATAAGGCCCCATTAACAGGGTACAGCATCGTTGTGTCAAACCCATGGGGGGTCGTACTTTTGCTCTGGGGAGGGGGGTCGTATTTGTAAGACAAATTTATTTTGATAGTTGATTTTTTCTTGTGGAAAAGGGGGGTCGTATTAATTTTTTTTTTATATGCACTATATGCATTCTGTACGCCCGTGGGATATACGTTGCATAGTTATTGTATTCGACAACTTTTTCGCCGACTATATACTCATCGCTCGTCGTCGGCGAAAAAGCCGTGGAGGGGGGGGGGTCGTGCCTGGACCCCATTCGAAGGGGGGGGGGTCGTACTCACACCGACATTTCGCACATCCCCATGCCGTACCCCGCCCATTAAGCTGCAACATACCGACCCGGGCGCCCACCGCGCGCCCGCTCACAAATTGACGACCGTACCTGATGCTCGCATTGCTTCATTCGCTAAGTAAAAAAATGGGCTGATATGAAGCGGCCGCGCACGGATATATGAGTATATTGAGTATACGGATATATGTGCAGTCGTATCTACCGTAGCGGCTACTGGCACGATGCCTACGGAAAACTAGTCCAAAATTACTTCCTGAGTCATGAAAAAGGAGGCCCCTTCAGGTTTTCGACCTTTTCACTTCGTTTCTTCGCCATTTTCCCCCCGCTGTACAGCGCTTTGCTGGCATTTCAGACCGAGTCTCAAATTATCGTGGTTTATGTCTTTAAACCTATATGTCCTTCAGTCCTTCCTTACGGCATAAGTTCTTCGAAACGGAAAAGAACTGCACTCACTCCGCCTCCTGGCCTTGGCGCTCCATCGATGATTGTGATCCGGCCATCTGTAAATAACACTATTATTCTATCCTTCATAGAAACTACTGAACGAAAGCCATCTGAAATTGTGGATCAATGAGGATGATAAGCATACTTGAGCCTATCGCACTCAGTGAAAATGTGCGTTTATATGTAGTGACAGCTACGCCAACTCTCGCATTATCGTGCAATTTCTGGCCATTCTTCTGAGGTAGCGTAATTCGTTGCGAGATCTCACGAAGTTGGAGCCCTTGCGGATACCTCAGCAATAGATCGAAAACCTTAACACGGCAAAATGAAGGCACTGTGAATTTCAGAAAATGGGTAAAGGCACATACAATCCTGATCGAACAGGTGGAATCGACTACGTTCTTCTCATTAGTGAGCCTCTGCTTCTAGTGTTACAAAGAATAAGGGACTAATGAAGAAGTTGCATTGATCCTAGTGACTCCGTCTAACAATCAACGTGGAATGTGCCGTTAGCCAACCTGTGCGAGTTTAATAAACTGACCTGCTGCGCAATTTCTAAATTATTCAACTGGATTGGCTGAGTTTCTTCTTGATCAGCAGGAGCCTGAAATATATGGAATACGACTCACTAAAATACTGCGGAAGCTGCATCAAGGGCTCGCCCAGAATTGGAGATGTCGGAGGCAGAGCATGCCATTGTTGTGATGATCACAACGGGGGGGGGGGGTTCGTATTTCCTCAGAGAAAAACTTTTTTTGGTAGTTGATTCCCCTTGTTTCACGGACCATATAAAGAAGGTCGTATTTGGTCAATGTTGGGAGAGGGACCGCCAGAGATATATACAACTACTATTTCCTACAAATCAAAATGATAGTGAAATTTAGTTAAATCCTGACGACCTCCCAAGCCCTCCCCCCCTCCCTGCTCGAGAGCAAAATTTTGGGGAAAAACCAGAAACTTCTCGAGAAATTCGGGAAAACTGGTAGGACGGATAATCTGAGACATCTACTGTTTCACATTGGGTATATCCCCCCGACGGAAAAGACTCGGCCGAAAAACTGGAAATTTTCCGGGAAAAAATGGAAAAGTGGTAGGAAGTTGGAAAAAGCTAGAAAAGTGAAGTAGCATGGGGAGGATTGGTCGTATTTGAGGATGCAATCAGGGGTTCGTATTTTTCAGCAATAATCACGACGCGATGGCGTGTCCTGATAAGAGGACCAAAAGTGGTGCCCTGGCAATGGCTGCGTAATGCCGTGCCGAAACCGGGGTGCCGGGCAAGACAATAGCGACTTCTCGCGTCGCCGCTGCGGCGAATCGTGTGTTCGTGCGTGGCAAATTCTCGTTGAGCCTCAATATGTCGACCGGATCAGCAAAATTCATAAGAATTCAAGCAAAGAAAAGACTGAATGATGAAAGTTATGGAATTTTTCCGTTCCTATGACACGCATATTGAAACGGCCAGGCAGGAAACTCGTCTGCTGGGCGTGGATAATTATTTTGACATATAATCTCATGGGTCACCACCTCCTCTTCCTCTGACCCCTTCTTTGGAGAGAAATTCCATGGGAAATCTCGTTGTTACCGCCTAGAAATAAGATTTCAACAATAAAAGCTCACCACATTCGAATGAGCTGGTGTTGACACACGCTTCTGGTCAATTTCAATGTCAAGACCAGGCGGGTACAGAGGTTCTTCAACAGCATTTGGTTGAGGATATCGAGCTTGTCGAGGAGGAACCTAGCAAATCAAGTTCAGGAGAACACTTCTCAATTTTAGTAGCAAGACCTGATGAAAAACCTCTGGCGAGTGATAACTTGTAGAAGAAGACCCTGGTCCATTTGACGGTGGTACTTGAAAGCCAGGAGGAGCATCATAGTATGCTTCTGCAACACCAAATGTCATGATCATCAACAATGTCATGATCGCTAGTTTCTGCCTAAGGCTGCGTCTATAGTCCGCCTCAGCATTTGAGGGGACGGCAGAGTTCCAGTGTTTCGAGCGTACGGCAGCGTTTTGAGCGACTAGGAAAGTATAGCTATCGATCAGCGCTAAAAGCGTGAACTCGCTTTCTGAGCATTTCGCGGTTAGTTTCAAACTCTTCGCGGGCAGTCGCCGAAAACGCTGGCCTACGAGAACGCTAGATCGATACCCACACTTTCCTAGTCACTCAAAACGCTCACGCAAAGTATGAAACCAGCCTAGTGGCACGTGCAAAACGGAAAGTAGATAGTTTTTCCGGAGAAAATCCCGGCACTACTACATAAAGATTTGATAGAAGGTCAATTCCTTACCATTAGCAAAATGTTGGAACTATGATAACGATTCTAAATAATTTATATTTATTAAAAGAACGGTTGAAAACATCATTTACAGGGCATCCACAGATTTACGTGATTTATAGCAGTAGGGAAAAACGCGTTCTATTTTTTGTGAGATAACGCTCGCGTTCACCTCACAGACCGCGCCTATCCAAAAAACCCCACCCTTTCGGGGCAAGTGTAAAGCTGTGAATGAAAACCCTAACCTCTTGAAAAGTGACGAAACTACGACCAAAAACTTACTGTCAGTTTCGTCCCGCGCTATGCTGGTCGAAAGAGGGTCGACCTTGGTTGGCATTCTGCGAAGGGCTAGCCCTTTGACGATCGGTTCTGAGCATTTGAGCACGTTAAAGTGACCTCGAATAAGCGCAATTACCAACGCTCTAATACGCGGAACTTGATAAAACACTGGTGGGCATGATAAGAAGCTGAAGGCGACTGACGAGCGAACGACAAAAATGTTGCTGTTTTCGCGTGATATCTTATCTTGACGCTCGTTCTTGCTCACAACTACAAACTGAGGCCCGTCGCAGTCATCTAGGAGCATGAAAACGCCAGCCAAGGATGACTGTTTGAAGAGATTCAGTAGATTGGACAGCGCTCATAAGTTTTTGTGATTGCAGATGGAAGTCGAAGCGTGGCGCGTCCAATAGGGGCATCGACGTAAGTTCCTAGATCACCGTAGGATTCCTCAGTTATGAAGTAAATTGAGGGCCCAAGCGGACTACGAGGAGAGTCTGGGTCCTAGCAAACTTTGACCCATTTGACCTTATGCTACCTGGGATCCACATTAGCGCGTCCATACTACTCCATGTTTCCTCGGCAAGCGATAAAAGAAAGGTCCAGGGTAATCTGATAACTAGCAGCTCTTCTTCAGACAACATACTCCGGTAGGCAATCGCAAAGGATGCACTTTACGCGCGTGCCAAATATAAATGACGACGAGATTGGTGCCGTCATCTGTCGACTCCGCCCACTTGAAGCGGTCCCACCCGCTGACAAACGACAACGGTGAATGCTTTGATGTCTGTAGTCCCACTCACTGTTCTCTTCTCCTCTGTTTTTCTTCACCAGTGATCTAGTTGTTCACAAACAAATCAATAGTTGAACCCCACTACGCGAGATACAATCGTGGAATGCGCCCTTAAAGGCAGTGGGCAGCACTGGAGGCGGGCGGTTGTTCTCAGCGCACTGGTAGAAGAGCGTTCGTCCCCTTCAGCTCTTCCACCAATTATGTGAGCAACAGCCGCTCGCCCTCCCCCCCCCAATGGTGCCTCAGCTTGAGAAGACGTGCTAACAGAGGAATGAGAAAGTCCTCTTCACACACACGGAGACCTGTCTCTTTGGCTGCACATGTAGCCCTTTCAACCTGTCAAAACCTGTCAACTAATACGTCTTCAGTCATGCAATCTGAGCAATCTTCTGAAATTTAGCTCACAACCGGTGACGTTTCGGCAACAAATCTCAAATTTCCATCTGATACGCCCACAAAAGCATGGCAAATAACGACGTGATCGGAATGTGGATATCACATGTTATTACAAGCAATGTGGGCGGAGTTTCGAGCCATACCAACCTCCTCGACGCGCCAAAGTTCGCTGTCAGTCTACGTTATTCGCGCTGAAGTTACCCGACTTTAGGCCTGGGGGAGCACCGGGAATGAAAGACAAAGAAGAAGGTTTCGCCGTTGATCAATCTAAGAAACGATATGCACTCCGAGCGCCTATGACTTGGGGGGGGGGTCAGCCAATGTACAGCTTGGCATTTTTTAGTGTCACAAACGAATCTCGAACCAGTTTACCAGCTCTGTAGGGTACAATGCTTGTTTCCGAATATGAAGCCCATCATCTTGTAAGCTGTTCACTCTAACAGAGTGGGCAGTAGGCGATCCAGTATCTGACCTCTGCGCATTGAAGGAGGGTCATGTTTTACTGCACCACCTTCTCCACGTGTGGTGACGGTCGCGCAGTAGCAAATAGCGCCACGTTCCAGCGCGGCTCGCAGTGTAGTCCCGGCTCAATTCCTGCCTTTGTCAGCCAGGCCCTCTCTCGCTATTTATATAAACCAGTCAGATCGCCCGCCTTCGGCGGGCGATCCTCCTTATGCGTGTGAAGTGGGTCCCCGGCCATCCAAACTGAGGGCCAGTCGGATCGCCCGCCTTCGGCGGGCGATCCTCCTTATGCGTGTGACCCTCCGCATATAAAATTTTTTTCTGCAATTCCAGACTATTGCCGTTTCACCTTTGGTATATACCCCCCCCCCCCCCCCGTCCCTCCCCCCTCCCCCCCCCCCTAGTGGATGGTTGTGAAATTTTTGTAAAGGCGAGGGGTGGAATGTCGGTACTCGATTTTTTTTGAGTCCATTTCAAGTATGCCTCCTTCAATTCAACCTCGACCCACTTCTTATTCCACGGTTTGCCGCTGCTCCGGTGGTTCGGGTCCGACTCGAAATTTTTACTTGGTCCCTGCCTACCCAGACAAACGCGGTTCGACTACAGGCTGCCGTGCTCTTCCCAACGCCCAGTTCGGGTGTGCCTCCTTCTGTTTATCTACCTGCTTACTCTTTACTCAAGCCCGTTCCCGCTGCCCGGGCAGTTCCTGGTTCGAATTTTGAAGATTTCAATTCGGCCCTGCCCGTCCGAACAAACGCCCCGCTCACTTCGGGTATGCCCCACGCCCATTGTGGGGGTAGTCTAACATGGTGCATAGAGAATGATCGTGTCCCCGGTCCCTGTGATCTTCCGGAGGAATTTTACGAATTTTTGTCGTTGGCACTTCGGTGCACGCCCCGTCCATTGTGTGCGAGGCTTAACTTAGTTTGTGTGTATTCGGTATATTTTCAACATGCCCTCAGCCCCCATCCCAAAGTTGACGGCGTTTAAGAGTTTTGTTGACAACGTTTTCAAAAGATTACGTCCGTGACACCACTCAGCTAAATATAGGCCCCGCCCATTGTGGGCGGAGCCTGTTCTCCTATTGGTCCGTCCGACAAACACACAGACAACTTCTGCTTTATATATAGAGTATGATTGGTGAGATCGTCTGGGAGGACAAAATACCAACTTGTACCGCAATTCATTGTAGGATCACATGCGCTGTTTGGTGATGGGGAGGGGGGGGGGGCATTTTGCACTTTAACGACTTCCCATCGACGTGTCGACCCATCTAGACAGCCTCTTCTCGAGTTGACAGGTTTTACCATGATGGCTTGACGAGCTTGCTCCAGCTTCACAAGAGTTCACAGGTTTCACAGAGTGAGACGTAAACCAGAACTAGTGAAGCAACGGGAGTGCAAAATGCCCCCCCCCCCCTGTGGCAAACTGCGCCGAGATCACACTGTATCTGAGATTCCACCACGATTCTGAATGGGAGAAGAATGCGTGCTATACTTGAGAAGGACTTATCAACGGCAGATGCTTTATCTTTTCATCTGCCTCCTTGATCAGAGCAGCTTTAGTTCAGCGCTATTGACATGCTGAACTCTAAAGCAAGGCGCAAGCAATGGGCTCGGTTGTACTCAGAACTCGTGTTTGCGCACAAATTTTCAGAAAGAGAAAAAAATCAGAATTGAGAAAAAATTAAGGAATTTTTCGAATTTTCCAGTTGCTGCCAATTACTAAAATCCTTCGCAAACATCAAACTTCAACCTTAACCCGCTTAAAGCCATTTGTGCGGAAATATCCTCGAAGAATATTGGCTAAGTATATTTCCAGTTAGGAGAAGAAGTTAACGACCTCGCGAGATATTTTCATCCAACGAAGAGGAACTAGAGCTTTTGAGAGACGCAGTGTCGCTGGCGATGTTGTACGAAGTATTCCTAAACATTTAGGCGGGTAGAAGAAAAAGTCTGATCTGACTTAAATAATTTCATAAACGAGTAATTCTGGCAGTTCAGTAAGCCTTCCATGGCACAGCTTAAGTTCTACATGGCACAACATTCGCCATAATAGCATTTCCATGCATGTTCTTTTTACAACGGTTCTGCGTGCTAGCGAATTGCTGGCATCCAATGGATCATGCTCACAAAAATACAACCGGTATTCAAAGTTCATCCAAGGGAGGGGGGGGGGGAGAGGAAAGAAGCAGATTACGCCGGTGCAAACACGGCGAAACGCGTGCGTAAGATCCGACCGGGTAAAAAACCATAGACGTTTGTAAAAATTCGTCACAGAAATACTCAACCATCGCCGGGAAACGGACTTCGAAACGCCCCTTTTCAACCTTCAGTACGGGCTATGAATGACAAGTACACTCGATTATTCGGTCTCTCTGGGGCATTACGTAAACGACGGTTTTCCCAAATCACTCCATTTTGGAGATTTTGCGAAATAATATCACCCCAAGTCCCGTCGAAGTAGGCAGTCGATCAACTAAGAAAATTTTGTAAAACCGTGACACCATATGCAGGGAAAGGGGAGAAAACAGTGCAAAAAAAGCAATAAGCCAAATAACATTCCCCTATCTACCACAGTGCAACTTCCTCTACTATCGGAAATTGCAAAAACAGGAAGAAGTTCCCACTCCCCAGAAGAGGTTTGAAAGAATCATAATGGGAACTAGCTTTATGAAGGAAGAAACTCACCCGAATCCAAAGACAGGGCGAACCTGCGTACTGCCACCACCTTCACCTACTTTAGAAAGCACGGCCTGTTCATCCTTGTTGAGCTTGCGGGGTTGTTGTGCATTGTCAAAACGAGGAAGTCTACCATCGGAAGCGCTGAACCAACTCAATGAAAGAAATGAACGCGCGAAATAAGAACTAAGCTGGCACTGCACCGTAAAACAGTCGTACCTCTGATGAAACTCCATATCGTTTCTGGGCGCAAATGGCTTTGAGGAAGACTGTTGCTGATTCCCAGGAACGAATCCTCGCGGTGGACCGAAGTTCCTAAATGACAGAATTAAGCGGCACACCTTATAAATTGAAAGCATCAAAGCAGGTATTTGACGGTAGACGTTCAAGGAGGCAACTTCAGAGCAGCGTGTTCCAAATACTAGCAGCGGCAACACGACGAAAGTTTTATTTACCATCTGCAGAATTCAAGGGATGGATTCATATTCGAGAAGACCAAAATACGAGTAGCACGGTCAAGGAGATACGTTTATAGTTCGAGCATCAGTTGTCAACGTCTGAATTCTTATTGACTCACCGATGAAAGAAAAGAAAGATGAAAATGAAATTTTTTTCTCGAGAAAAGAGACCCTTCTGCACGGGTGAGAGACCGGAAACAAGGAACGTGGAAGCAGTTAAACGAACGAGGCGTCAAGATCATAACCACTCAAAAAGGAACGCAACGTCGCTCATATTTTTGTATGTAGCAAAGAACCAGTGGAACCGGTCTCCTCTGTAGATGGGCGGGGCTTCTTCTGCATGTGACGTTCGCAGCGCCCTCGTTACTCACTAAGGAGCCGCGTAAAAGGCAGTCTTTGAGAGTGTGGACCTGACTGTCTGTACAAGAAAGATTCTATGCACTCGTGATCGAGGAATATGTATTAAAATGTAGTCGATCTTGCTTGGAACGACAAAAAACGGGCTTGAAAGTAGAAAGGTTTGCATGACGGTAAATAAGCCTTGAAAAA